CAATGCACATAAAATAAAGAAATAAATTTTAAAAAAAAAAAGACCAGTCAGGGGCTGGAGAGATGGCTCAGTGGTTAAGAGCACTGACTGCTCTTCCAGAGGTCCTGAGTTCAATTCCCAGCACCCACATGGCAGCTCCCAACTGTCTGAAGATCCAGTTCCAGGGGATCTGACACCTTCACACCAATGCACATAAAATAAAGTTAAATAAACCGTAAAAAAAAAAAAAAAAGACCAGTCAGTCTAAGGATCACAGCAAGATCTTGCCTCAGAAAACTAGACGAGGCTTAGAGATGACACATTTGTCCAGTATGTGCTATTTCCTGCATTCATGCCTCCATACTTCCAAAGAAATTTTAAAAACAAACAAACAAAACAAAACAATGAAAGGAGGAGGGGACTTGTGAGGAAGAAGGGATCCAGAGGGAGTAGGAGTGGGTAGGAGGAGTAATGCGGTGTGTGTGGGGGGGAGGGGGTGATCAGAACACATTAAACAACTGGACAGGATCTGGAATCACCTGGCGGGGGTGGGGGGCATGCTTCCAGAAACATCTGTGATTCAGTTATTCAGATCATGCCTGTGAGAGATTATTGGAATTAAGTAAATCAAAATAGAAAGACCCACCTAAAAAGTAAGAAGCATTATTCCTGGGCTTACAAAGGAGAACGTCAGCAGTGCAAGCATTTTCCACGTCTGTCAGTGCAGTGTGAGCGGCTGCTTCGGTTCCTGCTGTCTTGACCCCTGCCATGACAGACTGTGACCTTGAACTGTGAGCCGGGAATAAGCCCCTCCCTTCTGTGGTGATGCAAATGAGAATGGCCCCCATAGGCTCATAGTTCTGGATGCTTTGTCACCAGGGAGTGGAACTGTTTGAAAGGATTAGAAGGACTAGGAGATGTGGCCTTGCTGGAAGAAGTGTGTCACTGGGCGTGTGTTTAGAGGTTTCAAAAGCCCACTCCAGGCCCAGTCTCTCTCTGTCTCTCTGTATCTGTTTCTCTCTTTCTCTCTCTCTCTCTCTCTCCCCACCTGCGGATGGGGATGTACTGCTCCAGCACAATGACTGCCTCATGCTTCCACCATGATGAGAACAGATTGACCCTCTGAAACTGCCCCAAGGTTCCTTTAGAAGAACTGCCCATGGCCACGGTGTCTCTTCACAATAGAACAGTGACTAAGACAACTTTCTTCAATAAATTGCTCCTGTCCAGGCACTGGATCACAGCAACAGGAAAGAAACTAAGGCACTCATGGATGGCGTTGTCAACAAACCAAAAGAAAAACAAAACCCATCTCTGGTAAGTAGCAGGAACAACTGTCGCATCCTGAAAATACCACACGTCTTTCCCCCGTAAGGAAACAAAGTCACTCATGACTCTGCTCGGTCCCTCTGACTTTACTGACTCTTTAGAAGATGCTTTCCTCCTACCCCTAAAATCACAAATCCAAAAATTCTCAGTCTAAGAAAGCAGGCAGGGTCAGGCAGATAGTTCAGTGAGCAAAAGGTGCTCACTACTAACCCTGACAATGACCTGAGTTTGACCCCCCTTCTCCAGGAACCACATGATGCCAGGAGAGAACAGACTCCCCAGGATTGTCCTCTGACCTCTGCACACCCCATGGCACACTACAGCGTGCAAGTGCACATGCACACTTTCGCTCACTCTCAGCCCCAAGCTTCAGAGTCATACATCTATCTCAACCTTCCTAATGCTGCAGCACTTTAATATAATTCCTCATGTTATGGTGACACCAACCATAAAATTATTTTCATTGCTACTTCCTAACAGTAATTTTGTCGTTATGAATTGTAATGTAAATATCAATGCTTTCTTGTGATGAATTGCAATATAAATATCCATGTTTTCCAATGGACTTTGGTGACCTTTGTTGAAAGAGTTGTCAGACCCCAGAGGAGTCATGACTGCAGGTTGAGAACTACCGATCTATATGGCCTATTCCAACTTTTTTTAAAAAGACTTATTATTATGTATCCAGTTTTCTGTCTGCATGTATACCTGAAGAGGGCATCAGATGGTTGTGAGCCACCATGTGGCTGCTAAGAATTGAATTGACGGCCTCTGGAAAAGCAGCCAGTGCTCTTAACCCCTGAGCCATCTCTCCAGTCCCCCACAGTCCCATTTTAAATATAAAACTGCAAAATGAGATCATTTTGTTGTTGTTTTTCAAGACAGAGTTTCTCTGTGTAACAGGGTTTCTCTGGCTGTCCTGGAACTGGCTCTGTAGACCATGCTGGCCTCAAACTCACAGAGATCCACCTGCCTCTGCCTCCCAGTGCTGGGACCAAAAGTGTGTGCCAACACTGCCTGGCATAAATCTTTTTTGTCATCTATTCAAGCCTGCTTCTACCCCAGCCTTCCCATCTCACAGATATGGGTACCACCATCCAGGTACCTCTAGAAGTCATCTATGGGCATGTGTGAGTTTGTACGTGTATACTTGTGTGCGTTCTTGTGTGTACATGTGCACATGTGTGTGAGTGTGTATGTATGCGTGGATATAAAAGCCAAGTCAAATTCACGTGTTGCTTTTCAGATGCCCACCTTGGGTTTGGAGATTGCTTCTCTCCCTGGGACCTGGGACTTACAGACTAGGCTAGGATGACTGGCCAGCAAGCCCCAGGCTTTCCTGTCTCCACCTCCCCAGAGCTAGGATTACAAATGTACGCCACTGCGCTGGATTTTTATGGGCTCTAGGAGGAGTCCTCATGCCTGTGTGACAAGCACTTTAGGAACTGAGTGAGCTCTCTCCCTAGTCTCCTAGGAGTTGAGTCGTCTTTGAATGTTCTTTCTCTCAGACAGCATCCAATCCGTTAGAAAGGTCTAAACCCTCCATCCAAAGCACAGCCCGAATCTAAACACAGTTCTCCATGTCTGTTCTCCACCCTCTATTAGTTTTCTCTGGACCACAATCACAGCCTCCTATTACTCTCTGCTGCCTGGCACAGCTGCCCACCAGACCCCATTCTGCCTAAAACGGCCAAGCAGAGCACGCCACTGTCCCATTTAAAAACCTGAGTCTCCTCCCTGTGCCCAGACGAGAGCTTAGCAGCTCTTTACCTTGGTCCAGTTTCACCATTTACCTCCCTACCTGGGACTCCCTTAGCGTCACTCTCCCTTGGTCACCACCTTCAAGCCACACGAGCCTCGTCGCTTGCTAAACTTGAAGGTTTTCCGGCCTTAAACATTTTTCTGAACTGATTTGCCCCTACTGGCCACCACAGCAAGGATCCGTCTTGTCATTCAAACTCCAAATGTCACCTGCTCAGAAAACGTCATCACAACCTTCCAATCCAACAAGTCATCCAACACTCCTCACATCCCTTCGTGCTAATTTTCTGCACAGCAGTCGCCGCTGCCTGCTCGCTCTGTTTTCTTTCCTCCTGTGGGTATCAAATCAGCGGGCAGGAACAGTGAGCACCTCCCTTCCATAAATCTCATCCATCAGTCCCAGCGAGTCCCAAGTGGTGAAGGAGGTTCGGGGACTTTCTTCACATATTCTGACCCAGGTCTAAACCGTGTTTCCAACTTGGTGAAGATATGAATTCTGAATCACAGTCCCCCACAGTACATACACCTAGTGCTAGTCAAACCACCCGCCGGAAGACCTTTGGCTAGTTCATTCATTCGATAAACAAACATTTACCGAGCTCCTACTCTATGCCAGTGGGGCAAAGGATCAAAGACAAGTTCTGACTCCCAGGAACCACAGGAAGCAAAGCGAGGAACACCGACACACAGGTACCTTCCCGGAGCGGGAAAGATTAAGACTGTACGCGTGCCCCTTGTGGCTTCGAGATCGATCCACACAGCCCAACGGACCCAGAGAAACTGGTGGAGCAGCACCCCGCGGCTCAGGCGGCAAAGCTCCCACTCTACTAGCCCAGGCAAAGCAGACAGTGCGCGTTCGCCTGCGACCGGCGCCCGCCGAAGACTCGCGGGTAGAGTTCCAGGATTATCATTGGCTGACCGGGAGCCCCACCCCCATCCCATCACCGGAGAACAGGGATGCAGTCGCCGGGGTCGCGCTCCAACTCTCCCAGGCGATCTCAGCCAGCGTGGCCAGACACCACCTTCCACTAGCGTCGCGGGCCCCCTTCCCCCTCCCCCACGCCCAAGCCCTCAGGCCACATTCCCGACCCACACGAGCCCCACTCCCTGACACCCGCCACTGTGCCCAACGCACGCCCGGGGGTAGGCGTGTCCCGGGAGCTGCGGAGTTTGCTGGCTCGACCGCGGGCGGGCGGGACCAGGCCAGGCCCCCTGCGGCGCTGCTGGAACGTGGTGTCTGCGCC